CAATGAGGAGTTTGAGGAGTATTTGGATTAAATCTCTGAATTTCTTATAGAATTCAGCAGTAAATCCATCAGAATCTGGGCTTTTCTTTGTTAGTAAGTTTTTATTACATTTTCAATTTCACTGGTTGATATTTTGTTATTCAGAATTTTTATTTCTTCTTGATTCAGTTTTGGTAATTTGTTCCTATCTGGGAATCTGTCCATTTCTTCTGTGTATTCGATTCTGTGAGAGTTAAGATTTTCAAAATAGCTGTTGATGATCTTCTAAATTTGCACAGGATCTGTAGTAATTTCATTGTTTCCATTCCTTATTGCTTGAATTAGTTTTTCTTTCCTCTTTTTGATGAAGTTGGTTAGAAGTTTATCCATTTTCTTTAATGCTTCAAAGAACCAGATTTTTTAATTCATCAATTCTTTGTATTGCTTTCTTTGTCTCATTTGTATTAATTTCTGCTCTGATATTTATAATTTTCTCCCATATTTGAGCTTTGGGCTTGGCTTTCTATTTTTTGACTAAAAGCCTGAGGTTCAGTATTAGAGTATTTTTATGTTCTTGTTCTTTACCTAATATGTGAGTTCACCACAGTTCTCAAATTTTCTTCTGAGAACTGCTTTCATTGCATCCTACAAATTCTGATAAGTTATATTTGACTTTTTATTGGATTGTAGATATTGTTTAATTTCCTGTTTAATTTCATCTGTAACCTATTGGATGTTGAATATTTAATTTTCATATGTTATTTAATTTTCATATGTTTATGGGATTTTTGTGGTTTCTTTTGTCATTTATTTCCAGTTTCATTGCTCTGTGGTCACATAATATGCATGTGATAATTTCTGTTTTCTTGCATGTTCTTAAGCATGACCTATGGACTAGTACATGGTCTATTTTAGAGAACATGTGCAGCTCAAAAGAAAGTGTATTCAGATATTGTTGGGTAGAACATGCTGTATATGTCAACTAAATCCATTCCTTCACTGGTTGGTTCAGTTCTGCTACCTCTGCTAATTTTTTGTCTACTGGTCCTATCTTTTTGAGATAAGGGAATGTTAAGGTCTCTGCTTATTATGGTGTTGTTTATTAGATTTTTCATGTCCATTAAAATTTGTCTTACATAGTTGGGTGGTCCCATATTTGGTAATACATATTTATTATCGTTATCTCTTCTGGTTGAATTTTCCCCTAACCAGTATGTAGTGACCTTCTTTATCTCGTTTGATCATTCTTGGTTTGAAATTCAGACTGTCTGTGAACAGAACAGCTACACCTGCTTTTATCTGAGCTTCTGGAGCATGTAGTATTTTTTCCATCCTTGTATTTTAGCCTATGAATTTGTTTTTGTTTTAAATGTATTTCTTACACACAGCATATTTTTGGATTTTTTTTTGTTTTTTAAAAATGTATTTAGGACAAGATCTACAAGGCCTACAGGGTCTCACTCTGTAGATCAGACTCGGAGTGATTCTCCTGTTTTCAACCTCCCAAGTGCTGAGATTATAGGCACATGCCACCACGCCCAGTCTCAATCACCATCTCAGCATGCCCCAGGGTAGGGGCCAGCACGGCACACCAGGGATCAATCCCCATTCACTGTACTGTACCTAAGCAGGGGCTTGAATCTACTGAGTTATCTGGCTGGCCTTGGATTTTGTTTCTTAATCCACTCTACCAATCTATTTCTTTTAATTGGTGAATTGAGTCCATTTATACTGGTGGTCATAATTGATATGTATTGGCTTATGTTTGTCATGATATTTTCCTGTTGTTGGTCCCTACTTTTGTTTAATTGCTTTGTTTAATTGTTTAATTGTTTTCCCTATTTGGTGGGTTCTTTCTCTTGTCATTCTTGGAGTTCTGGTCAATTTGATGCCTTTCTAGCATGTCTTTTAGAATTCTGTGAGGCTTAGTTTGGTTGTCATGGATTTATTTGTTTATTGTCATGGAAGTATGTTACATCTCCAATAAACTTGAAAGAGATTTTTGCATGGTATATCAGTCTGGGTTGGAATATGTTTTCTTGTAGAATTTGAAATCCTTCTCTCCATGCTCTTCTTGAATTGTTTGTGATGAGAATTCTGAGGTTATTCTGATGGATTTTCTTTAAATATGATCTCTTTCTTTTCTCTGGAAAATTTTAGTATGTAGTTCTTATGCTGAATTTCTGGTGTCTTGATTAATATATGTCTGGATGTAGTTTTAATTGTGCTGATGTTCTTTGGAGTTCTATGTGCTTCACTCACCTGAATGTCACATTGTTTCCCCATATTTGAGAAATTTTCTGCTGTTTCTTCTGCCCATAGTCTTTTTATGTGATTTGTGTTGTCTCGTTCTTTTTAACTGATGCCTATTAGTTTTATGTTTTTCATCTTAGCATCATCTTGCAGCTGTTGAATTATTATTTCCTGGATCCTTGTTGTTTTTAAGAAATCTTTCCTTACCTTTTAGCTAAGTGCACCTATTTCTTCAAGATCTGAAAATTCATCTTCACTTTCATTCAAATAGTTTTGCCAACTTTTGATGGAAGTTTTTTTTTTTAATACTAAAAGGAGTAAAGGTTTAATGATGATAGCAATAACAAAAACAAACATACTTTGGAAATATTGTCCAAGCAAAGAAAATATTACACAATTTTTTTAACCATAAAAAAAGATCTGATTTAATTTGGATAGTTGAAAAGTATATTATTTGAAGGCCATTTGTAACAGTTCACTGATCAATATAGAAACATTACAAGGTAAATAATTGTAATTTAGGTTATAGAATTTGTAGGTTTTCATTTGAAATTCTTTGATCTAAAGAAAATTTCTAAAAATATCTAGCAATATAGGGCTTTGTTATAAGGCAAAAATTCAGACAATAAATACAATTATGCTATTAAAGAATTGACATTTTAAAAATACAAATAAATTGTAACTCATTCTGTTTGTGTATGTCTCTGGAACAATGCAGAAAATGCTTGTAAGTAAATAAAAATGACTTTATAATTCTATTTTTTGTTTTTTCCTATTTTTAAAATTTTTTTTATTTTTTATTATTTTATTATACTTTTAGTTTGAAGAGTAAAAACAAAAGAAAGAACAAAAACAAAGACAGAAACAGGTTAACATACAACAATATATATGCTACAGATTTTCAAAACAAGAATAGCAGATAAACAATGGTTGCTATATTATCTATTTTTATCATCAAATCTGTTGCTCAGATTAACAGATATAGTTATGTAAGATTGGACATATGATTGAATGTTACCACTTGCTTTCAAGAAATCTTAAATTCTTCAAGTCTTTTTTTTTTGTTGCTTTTTCTTTTATTATTAATTTTATTGAGAAACAAATAGCAATGAGACAATTTCAAAACTGATCAGTAAGACAGTTACATTAGTTAATATATTACATATTGTTGTCTTCATAGTGGTTATTCATAGTATAAGATGCAGACATGATATTCTGTCCAGGCACTATTAATATAAATATTTCTTCTCATTGAATGAAGAGAAAGTAGCTCTATATCTATCCTAACTATTTTGTATATAAAGATGCAAAATGGTCCTTCATTTGTATCCCCTTTTTCTGTTTAGTTTTGTCAGAGATGAATATTCCATTACCATTTAAATATTGTAGGTGTGTGACTTCAGCAAAATAATCCGATATAGTCCAGTAGTCCATAATAGCAGTGGGTTTCATATAAGATGGCAATGTCAGAAGTTGTTGACTTGAGCACGTTGCAGCTCAGTATAGTATTATGGCTTTACTTTTCATGTCTCATTATTATACTTTACTGCTGGATGATTAAGACTAAGATAAACAAGACCTATATAATGAGAAATGTAACTTTTGTATCTGACAAGGTCAGTCAGGATTTAGCCTGAAACCCTGTACTGTAGTTTGCAGATCTTTTGTCAGTGCCAGCCATGTGGATGAGTCATGGCCATTGCTTGACTACTTTGCTCTTTGTGAAAGCCTGAGAGAATGTTTTCTCTTCATGTGACTCTCTTTAGGCACACTGTACATCGTTGATCATTTTCCTCCTATTACTTTTTAAAAAAATTATGTTGAAGAGAGTAATCGACATGACATTAGGAATGGTACATATTTAGAAGACCAAAATGATAGGTATTCAAGCATGTTTTTTTGTATTACACACTGCTGCCCTCAGTGTTGTTGCTTAGTTCACAAATATCATTATACTGTGATGGGGTTTTTAATTTCTTTTATATCTTTCTGAATATGCTTCATGCATTTTATTTCTTTGCTATATTGTTTATTCAAGATTTCCATCATTTTTCTGTTTTTTTCTATTATTTATCAGTGTTTTCTTTAGAAACAGTAATTCTTTTGTTATATTTATCATTTCTCATCTCCTGGATTTATTCTGGGTGGACATGGAATTTAGGATTGCATTTCACTCCTTCATTTTCCTATCTCAGAGAAAACTCTTTACTTTGATTTTTGTGCTACTTTTTTGTTAAAGTTTGATTGTAAGAAGCTGTATCACTGTATTCAGAACCTGTTTATAAAGTCTGTTCTTTAGGTATCTCTTCTGTGACAGCGATTTTTATTTTGTGGTGCCCAAGATTTTGTCTTCTCTATTGAGATTGTTGTATTGATTTCCACTTGCAACTCTTCTCTGCCCTAGAGTCTTCCAGGCAGAGCAGTCCATCTAAGTTATCTGCTGCCACTTCCATGCCCTGAGGATCTTCCTGTAGGTCTGTTCCTCAGTCTGGACCCCACTGGGCCTAGCAGTATGCCTCAGGTCAAGGGGCTCAGCGGCAGGCCTCAGGCCCTCCTCCCGGGTCAATGCCACCAAGTTCTTCCTGTCCAGTGGCATGCCAAGCAACTCAGCACTGAGATCTGCCCTGTGGGTCACCTGGAAAGGTGTTCTGCCTTGGGTTTATCCCACTTGTTCTCACACTGAGCTGCTCTGTACCAAGTTCCGCCGACCAGTCACACACCAAGCTACTCTTCACCGAGTTCCTCTGCCCGCACACAGAGCTGCTCTGCCAAGACTGGGATTAGAATTAGATCTCGAAAGGTCAGTTGAAGTTTTCCAATAAGAGTAAACAAAAGTCAATGGAATGAAGGCAAGTGGTGTTTTAAAGGAAAGTTTAATGGTCTTGTGTGTCTGATTATGGCTGCATTTTAGGGTACAGAAGATAACATTAAAAAGATAGGCCGGCAATAGTTGAGAAGAGTCTTCCTAATGGATGTTTTATTTATCTTATGAGTAATGAGGAGCTACTGAAATGTTTTTTAAAGATGTAGTAAGAGCAAATGAACTTCAAGTGGAGGACATTCTGAGCATGGTGTGGAGGGTGGATTGGAGGAGAGAAACATGGCAGGTAACTGTTGGAGCAGTAGGTGCCTTTATGTGGAGTTTACAAGCCAAAAATCCCTTATTAGACTGTTCTTCTGCAGGTTATATGGGCAGTGAAAAATGCACAAGATTTTAAAGGTATCAGACCTAACTGGAGTTTCCCTCAGTATCTGTGTGACCATAGGAAAAGACGAGATTTTCATCTATTCCTCCACAACATGGGAAGCTAACAGTGATTACAGAGGACTGCAGAGCTGAGTTTTAAGGGTATCATTTCAAGGTGATATAAAATGCAATAGAGAAATAGTCTCATCCTCTAATGCTATGGACCTGGTTCCCTGTCAATTCTCAACAGATTGATTTGTTATGAAGTATGCATGGGAGAACATGGCAGGCATTTCATAGAATGTCTCAGGTTTGTGAAATGTTGTGAAAATATGTCACACACACACACACACACACACACACACACACCCCTATACCATGACATGTTGCTGTGCAGTATCAAATGCAGAAATGAGTTTGCCAACAGGAGACTGCTTCTTGACAATTTCCAGGTAGACAAATTGGCTGATTCTATTAGGCCAAGGATCTGAACAAAATTTTCGTCTCTTTTGGCCTCCAGCCACCAACCAGGAAAGAAGACCTTCTGCTATCTCCATTTTAAATTTAGATTTTTGACATCATCTCCTGGCTTGAGCATGGTAGTGGTGGGCAGCCAAGTTCACAGGGTTGTTTTGTCCAGCTCCAGCTTTCCTCTAATCTATGTTCTCTTGACAGTTCTCATTCATTCCTCACAGAGCATTTACCACCTACCCACTTTTTTTTTTATTTTCAATTCATGGAAATGAATCAGATCTGTGATGGCGTCATTCAAAAGAGAAAGCTAATTAAAAAGCTCCCCTTTCCTTCCTCTTAGAGACCTTGCAATAGTTTCCCCTTTTAGGAGACACAAGACAGGAAGGAAGCTCTTCAGTGCAGCTGTGAATAGAGGAGCACCGCTGGGGTTTTGGGAAGCTGGGTGATCACTCCCAGCTAAATTGTTGAGTCGCCTGGGGAGAAGTTTTAAGCTGCTTTGTCTTTTTCAAAGCCAGGATATAGAGAATAATCTCAGGCTACTCTAAGAAGAAGGAATGTGTGATGATGTGACAGGAACATTAATTACAGAGTCAGTGAGACTGAGTTGCTGTAAGGGAAGGTGCATGTTCTAGGAGACGCTCATCCAGGGATGAGTGCATTAAAAAGCACGGCTGCCTATGTAACTGCTAGTGTGTACCATCAACTACTGTGGTTTTCATAAGTCCACCCATCTGATAGTCGCAATCGATGAAAGTGCTTTAGTGCTTAAGTAACATTCCCACTTTATGGGAAGAAAGCTAAGGTGTGGACAAAGCTCAGTTAACTAGTCAGTGTTGAGACCAGGACTTGAGCCCAGATCACGTGGCTTTGGATGATGCGCTTATAATAACCTCTTCATGGGTTTGCGATTTTTTCTTCAGATACTTAAGAAGTCACAACTTAGTCTGAAATTGTACGCAAGAAAAGGAAACACATTTACTCCAGAGTATGGCGACAAGTGTTTTGCTGGTGCACAAAAAACTGGAATAGTTGCTACGAATTTTTAATTTGGGCAAACATTTTATATATATTATATAATATAATATAGTATTATTATATAATATAGTATTATATATTATATTATATATAATATATAGTATTATTACATAATATAGTATTATATATATATATATACATATATATATATATATTGCTTGCCTAAATTAAAAATTCATAGCAACCTGAATAGCTGCTACTCTCTTTTCACTGTGCCTTAATCTCTCTAGTTGGTTCCAGACTTCTCCACTCCCTAGCACCTTCCAACACTCACCCACATGCCCTCTAATTCCAATGCACTAGATTCATTCATGTTCCCATTTTTATAACACAGAGCTGAAAGGTTTCTGAGGTTGTGGCTCCTGCTCTAGAGATCAAAGAGTATGCCACGCACAAAGTGAATCTGTGCTATGGTACATTGACTTTGAATAACAGTCCTTCAATATGCCATTTCTTCTTTTTCTTTTTTTTTAAAAAAAAAGGAGTAAAAAGCACACTTTAGACTTGCCTCACCTGTGGACCAAGAGGATGGAATGCCTGCACTATGACTGCTGTGAGCCTCAATTGTACGCTGTCTATGAGCACGTTCTGCAGCCCATCCAGTGCTCTCAACATTTAAGATAATCCTGGGATTTGTGACACACTTTATACTACAAGGCCACTTTTATTGATGAAGTCTCATTAACTGCATTGGACAATTGTTAAGTGAAGAAGGAATTGTGGCTTTATACTCTCTCTACATGCACCATTTCTTTCTGTGGAATTGGAAACTGATATCTAACCACATTAGATGACTTGTTTCTTGTTGCCCAGGTGTGTGCATGCATGAATGGGATGAGACCCTAAATCTGATTTGTAGTGGGAGGCATTTCACCCAAGAGACTGTGAGACTTCTTCCCCAGAAGATTCACCATCAGACCCCAGCAGCCCTACTCAAGGGATGGTTTCCTATAGACCTTTCATAATCTTAAAAGCAGACTTGAGAATACACAAGGAAACACATAAGCCAAGGACCTAGGCAACCCGGCCTTCACTAAGCTCTACCACTCAAGATCTTTGTGATCTTAAGCCATTGACTCAACTCTATAAACCTCAATTCATGAGGTGGGGGAGATGGCTTGGTAGAATAAGCGCTTCCCTGGCAAGGGCATGGGCCTGAGTTCAATCCCTGGTTCCACAATAAATAAATAAATAAATAAATAAATAAATAAATAAATAAACCTCAGTTCTTTCATTTCTAAAATGAAAGAAATGTTACCTGCTCAGTCTTTGTAACAAGTTTCTTGTGAAATTCAATTGGGTTAGTACCAATGATAGCAGACAATCATGCAAGTCAATACCAGGATGTGAGCATCTTGCCTTCTCCAGGGGTGTTGTGGGTACTGCTCTCCTCATGTAGGATGCAGTGACTGACTCAGCAGTAAGGCATCAACATTTGGTTGGTTCCAGCAAAGGTTGCCACAAAAGTTCATTATAGGTGATGTGTTTGGGTATTGTCAAACATAAGCCAGGATGAGAAAATTGAGAATTATTTGCTTTCAATCTGCTTGGCTATCGGTTTATGAAATTCTAAGATCTCTGTTAGTCAGTAGTCCAGACTGTCAAATGTCACAGGGTAGTGTTGGGATAAACAAAAAACAAACAAACAAACAAAAACATGGAAATTGGAGTCAGAAGATGCCACTCGAAACTTGGGCTGCATTCTTTACAATCTGTGTACATTTCTCAGATAAATAATTTTCCTTCTTGGAGACTTGGATGTTTTATTTTTTTATGTTTTATAATTTCTTTATTTATTTGGTATAGGTCTCATTATGCAGCTCAGACTCCTAGCGATCCTCCTGTCTCAGCCTTCCCAGCACTGGGATTATAGGCATATGCCACCATGCCCAGTTTCAGAGCCTGAACAACTTAACCAGTGTCCAGGGCCAGCATGACATGTGGCACCAGGGATCAAACCTGGGGTCTTGCACTTGCTAGGCAGATGCTTAAACTGCTGAGCCACCTCCCCACTTGGCTGGGTTTTCATGAATAAATTGTTGGGAAGCAGAGATCATTTACTTTAAGCCCTTCCTTCTTGTGCATTTAATTACTCATGAATTTCCCCAGGAGCATTTTACCAGCATTGTGCTTTGTTGTCTTTCCTTTTTAAAATTTCTCTTTCCCTTTTCTTTCTCTTCTTCTTTTACCTACTCATGGGGGGAGCAGCTCAGTTCTTCTCATTGCACCCAAAGTCACCCTACCTACCCAGAAGGCATTTCTTGATCTTAGGCTGAAAATATTTAGTGTGTAAGACTAGGGTCTTTAATTGCAAGAAAATCATATCCACTAAATGTAATTTAGATTTTGCCTCAGAGTTAATGCCACAGGAATTATTTGAGCTGTACTGTTTCTTTTCTTTACAGGTTGGATTCTAGAAAAAATCTGGTCAAGCTAAATGAACATGTTTCACTGAAGAATGGAGCAAAGTTGGCTGTTTGGTCTCTTTCTAGTTAACGAATTGAATAGATACAGGAACTTCATCGTGTTCTCAGGGAAATCCTGTTGGCTGGGGCTCACCCAGCAGCACTACTAAATTTAGGTCACAGCTCAGTGAAAAACAATTACAGATCCCTAATAAAAGATAATTTACCCAGTGACATCAAGTAGGACAGCTGAGCCGTTCTTATTTTCCTGTTAATGTTGTGGGGGTGGAGAGCCAGGAGCTGGGGCAGGGATGAATGTTGACAGAAAATTATTTTCTGACCTTGCACATCCTTTGTGTGACCTGCTTTGTGGCATATGCCAGCCTGTGCTTTACAGCAAGAAGTGGAACTTAATGGAAATATAGCGAAATGCTTTCCTACACTAGGCAAGGATAAGAAAGGAGTTGGGAGCAAGGCTTAGCGGTAGGAAAAGAACATTCAGAAGTCCTTCACTAGAATCTTGCTAGACCTTCTTTTTCTTACCTTCTGCTCTCCACCCACCTCACACTCGCCTCTACAACCACAGCAAATGACTTTGCAGCTCTCCATCAGCTGTGCTTTCTCTATTTTCTCCCTCTTTGCCCACCTGAACCTTCAAGCTAGTATATTTTCCCTCATCCCTTTATATGTTTATTTTCACAGTGAAGCCTGTCCAACTGCTACCTCTTCCAAAACCTTCCTATGACCCTTACAGTCAGGGTGTGATGCCTTTCTGTTTTTCCTAGATATTATTGATTAGACTGACCTTGCTCAAGTATGGATTATACTATATTTTTTCTCTTTCTTTTCTTCTTTCTTTCTTTCTTCTTTCTTTCTTTCTTTCTTTCTTTCTTTCTTTCTTTCTTTCTTTCATTCTTTTTTTTTGGCAGAACTGGGGATTGAACTCAGAGCCTTGCGCTTGCCGGGGAAGTGCTTCTTCTACTGAGCCATCTCCCTGACCCCGCTATTTGTTCTTGGTGCCCCAGTAACAACCCACTCCACTGCAATAATATTTTTAAGATTCTAATGACACCCTTGCTTGTGAATGCAATGGACTTTTTCCAGATTTTACACTCTTGTCCTTTTGATGAATTCGACACTGTTTATAAGTTCCTTATTTTCTGTGTATTTAGTACAGGGTCTACCCGGTCTCACTATGAAGATCACACTCATAGTGATCTGCCTATATCCAGCCTCTTAAGAGCTGGGGTGGCAGGCATGCACCATGATGCTGAGTCTCAATGTCAGTCTCAGCACACAGGGCAAGGGCTGGCACGGTATGCCTGGGATCAAACCCCAGCCCCTGCGCTCTGCCTAAGCAGGCACTTTAATCTGCTGAGCTATCTGGCTGGCCCTATAACTTCCTATGAATTATTTTTTCTCCATAATTTTATTGATAAACAAAGACCAGTGAGACAGTTTCAAATCAAATTGGTAGGACAGTTTCAATAATTAACACATTGCATACAATCTTCCTAGTGGTTAATTGCTGTACAAGATGCGGACCTATTATCCTATTTACAAACACCATTAGAAAAAATTACTCCATTCATTAAGAGAATGTAACTATATATCTATCCTAACCACTTTGAATACACAGATACAAAATGGACATTCATCTGTATACCCTTTTTTTTCTTAAATTCCGTTACTTGAATATTATAGGTGTGTAAACTCAGCAAAATATTCTAAAACAGTCCAGTAGCTCATAATAGTATTGGGTCTTCCACTTGACTGGCAATGTCAGAAATTGTTGACCTAAGTCCGCTATACCTCAAAATAACAGCATGGCTTTACTTCTTATGTTTCATTTTTATACTTTTCTACTGCGTGGTGAAGACCAAGGTAAAGCAGGACTTATGCAACAAAAATTGTGTCTTTTGGGTCTGATAAGGTCAGTGAAATCCTCTCAGGATTTATCCTGAGATCCTGTACCTCAGATTGTTTGTCAGTGTCAGCCATGTGGATAAGTCATGGCCATTGTTGGCCAATGTGCTCTCTGTGAAAGCTTGAGAGAATGTTTTCTCACCATGTGAGTCTCCTTAGGCATACTCTACATCATCGATCCCTTTCCTCTTTGGCCCATAATCTCCTTGATCAGAAAATTTGGGACACTACTGAGTTACATGACGTTACAGTACAGGTTCTTGTATGTCCTGAGTCTTAATTGACCTTAGAAAGCTAAGGCCAAATGTTGGCTTTCCTTGCAGCCCTCCTTTTTCTCTAATTTTGGCCTGCAAACTTAGATTGTTAACCATCCAGAAGAAAAGCTTATTGTTATTACCATACAACTTAGGCTGTTAAGCTTAACCTCACTGTCTGTCTGCATATCAAACATTTTAGGCATAATATGGAACAGGTATATTTCATCAAGTATTGATATGCTGAACTTTAAGTTCCTAGAGAATATGATAGAAAACATTTAAGATTAGAATATATTTTAAAAATAGGCATAAAGAATTATATACTTCTTATGTTTATACATAAGTCCAAAAATCTCACCATATACAACCTTGAAGCAGGACAGTCCCACAGTATTCCTTTTCCTGTCTTTTGCTTTCATGCACCACCCCCTTCTTTTTGAAAAACCACCTACCCAAGAGACATCATAGTGGCAACTGGCATGTCATGACAAGCAACCCATATTCAGAAGACCAGAATGACAGGCACTCCAAGCATGAAACTACTATTACA